CTACTCAAACTTTCTTCAAGATTCCAGTCTCCATTTGCACAATGAAGCTTCTCAAAATGTTCTCAATTTCACGTTTCACAACATGATCTCAAAATTGCATTCTACCAAAGGATTTCAATCCCTCATCACACGTATGCCGCATGAAAAGTCAAAAAATCGCGTTTTCTTCGATTCCAAACCTCTCCTCAGCTCGCAGGCGTATAATATTTAAATGACATTGAGGGAACGCTTTAGCAACGGGTATTGTCGTTCCAACCGAAGAGCAGCTATGCGCCGTAGATTGACTTGTACACCGGTTGAACGCTTTGTAACGCGTTCTGTCGACCGTGTAAATATTTTAACGATTGCAAGGGAACTTTGTCCGCGCGATCCTCGCGGAAAGTTCTGAGTTCGGTGTAAACTAACCTCAACGACCGCATCCTAGCCCCGTGAGCACCAGTTTAGGCCCATATTCTTCCACGTTGGCCACCTCAGTGGTTCTCATTCCGATCTTTCCGAATTTTTCTACCCTTTCTCAATTCGACATTTCATTCTTAGCAACCTTTTTCAGTTTGACATTTCGCTCTTAGCGACATTTCCAGTTTCACCGTGTCAATTTCCAGATAAACTGAACAAGTTTATTTCGTCGAATCCTGAACGAGAGAGAAAAAGTCAGCCATAAATTATTTAGTCGAGCAAAAGTAGAAATATGAAATGGAGTTGATAAAAAGTGGAGCACAACGGAAAATAGACTGGAGAAGAATGCCGCGAGTGGAGTCTTGATCGAATTGTATATTAGATTTTACCAGCGGTTCTCAATCGAAGCTACTGAAAATTTTCACTTTTCACAATCTCTGTTATTCACGCGGTATCCAGAACATGTAAAATTACAATCTGACGAATGGGGATGAATACTCGTGACGCGCTGAGTAATTTACGCGTTAATTTTGCAAAAAGTTGAGAGCCACTGTTACGCGCCAAGGGGATAAAGGATTGATCGGGCGCACGCATCGCGGAGCGTTTCACCGTGCAAATTTAAATCTCTTCGCCATTTTTGCCTCCCCACCTTTTTCTCTTCCTTTCTTGCCTCTGTGCACACGTCAAGCCTGACGCAGCGGAGCTCTTGACGTATGAAAAAATAATTTCCGCGGATCGATGCGCATAACAAAAATAAATATGAAAAACAAGGGATAAATGTCAGTGGGTCGTTATATTACTTCTCGTCGAACAGTTCTTCTTTCTTTGCCCATCTGTCCTGCATTTATAACCTTTACCCCGCAATTTAAATGGCAGGTTGTATTTAAAAAAAAAAAAAAAACTCCAAGCAATTCCGCGTTGCGTTTAATAAACGAATCCGTGAATGTCCCTCTACTAAAATGTGTTAATTAATTTTTTTTAATAACAACGATAATGTCACAGGTTGCAATATTTCTTCGTTTTTACCACGTACAGGGTGTTTCAAAGTGCAAATTTAAATCTCTTCGCCATTTTTGCCTCCCCACCTTTTTCTCTTCCTTTCTTGCCTCTGTGCACACGTCAAGCCTGACGCAGCGGAGCTCTTGACGTATGAAAAAATAATTTCCGCGGATCGATGCGCATAACAAAAATAAATATGAAAAACAAGGGATAAATGTCAGTGGGTCGTTATATTACTTCTCGTCGAACAGTTCTTCTTTCTTTGCCCATCTGTCCTGCATTTATAACCTTTACCCCGCAATTTAAATGGCAGGTTGATTTAAAAAAAAAAAAAAAAAAACTCCAAGCAATTCCGCGTTGCGTTTAATAAACGAGTCCGTGAATGTCCCTCTATTGAAATGTGTTGATTAATTTTTTTTAATAACAACGATAATGTCACAGGTTACAATATTTCTTCGTTTTTACCACATACAGGGTGTTTCAAAAGTACGTTGAAGAAGCGATGGTAAACAAAGTGAAGACTCTTTGAAGGCAAAATAGGGGAGGATGTAGCAAAATGTCATATTCTTTACGTTTTTAATAAGTTTACTTAAAATGTTATCATCGACTGCCCTATTCGACCTTCCTATTTGTTAATTTTCCAATAAAAAGTCAGTAATGTTGAAGTTTGCACGGCAACGTGCAAGTGTCCTAACATTTACATAACCTTCTTCAAATGCTAAATTTACATCTTCAGCAGTTTCCACCGCAAGTTTCAACTTATATACAAAAATTACTCGCCGTGTCAGATAATAATGTCGAAACAATTGTGTTATCAATGTTTTTTACCATTCAATTCAGGTCTACTGCGGCAAATTTCTTCTTCTTGACTATTGCGCATAAAAGTTTAACACACGATATCGACTCGCCAATTTCAGCTGTTGTAAAATCGCCATTTCATTTGCACCAAGCTAATACAGTAAATTCTCCACAAGTGTCAGTCCGCAAGGAACCTAAACCTGACACTTGTAGAGTCAGGGACTACGTTTTCGAGCCCCGCGCCCGCCTTTGTAGTTTGCCGAACGTAAACAAGGACAGCGAATAAAAGATAAGGATGAAACGTGAGTCGAGGCAACCAAGCGATTTAAATACCAACTTTTTTAATTTTACGTTTTCTTATCCCGAAATTTTTCTTAACATATTGATGAGATTTTTCTGATGAAAATGATATCAAACACGACATTATTTGAACAACATTTACTTATTAACACGTTCACTGTCACGCCAGACAAGGACCATCTATACTGACACTTGTAGAATCCAAACTGACTGACACTTGTAGAGAATTTACTGTATATATGTAAGTGTCGAGATTATTGTCCGCGAAGGAAGTGTAGATTTCCAAACTGCACAACGTGAACGTTTTATTTTTAGAACGCTGCTAATTTGAATAAACGCAAGATAAGATTCGTAGGACGTTGATGAGATGAATCTTCGACCGCGTCTGGAGTGAAAAGTAAGAAAGAAAGAAGAAAAAAAGAAGGAAACACGACGAGACGGACGTCATGTTTGACAAGCAAGAATAAACCACTAGAGCTGAATAATTTAACGATAATGGCCGAGTTCGTTATACTTAAAAATATTCCGAGCACAGCGTGCAAGTCGAGATTAAAAATTAGTCAAACTCCGGGGAAACGAGGGAATACATTACGCCTGTGAATCTGCATCACGAAGTTAATGACCAATGAAAATTTCACGGGGTAGCTTGAATCTCGAAGCAAAGAAAACCGAACAGAGAAGCAACAATAACACGCGAAACGAATAAAACCTTGGACACCGACCGCTTTATCTTCGAAAAAGTTACGAAAAATACACAACCGACGGGTTGAATTTTATATTGCAAAATAATTCTAAATCTTCAAAATCAGACGAATACGAAAACATTTCAGAAATTGTACCGGTCAAATTTCACAGAAGAAATCCTCCAACGACCAAAACGCAGAATTCTCTTTCAGAATTTTTCAAAAATTCAGAATCCTGTCTTTCTAACAAGGGAGAACATCTCGAAATAATAATCACCGATGCAAGATCTCAAAAACTTCTTATCGACAATCGTCCATACTGAAGGGGTGAGAATGGCCCTCGAAGTTTAGGGTACTAAACATATTTTTTAGTTCAATACCTCGGAAACTATTAGAGATAGAGGAGTCGAAATTTGTATTTCTGGAAGACAAATGTGATAAATAATATCACACAGAGATTCAATTAGCAAGAATCAACTTTTTATCTCGTGTAAAATAAAAAAAACAAACCGTCAAAATATTAGGTTGTACTAAATGAAATTCTGATGTCAGAATAACTGACAGTCTTAGTCATTATTAGTAAGTTCTACATGTGTGACCTATATAGGGTGGCCCATAAGTCGATTCACCATTTAAAAATCGAATAAACCTTTTATTTTTTAATCGTGTTAAATTTGTATTCATTTTTAAACGGTGAAACGACTTACGGGTCACCCTGTATATTTGCAGGTATTACATAGAAGTTATTTCAGTGCTGTGCTCCTCTGTTCTCATTGTTTATCGAATTGTCTTTCGTGGTTGTTTAACTGTTTTACGTAATCAAACGATACGACGTTTTCAAAGAAATTTAGAACACTATATGAACTTAAATTAGGCCATGGTAGATCTAAAGCATGTGGAAATATTTGAAGAATTTACTAAATCAAAAAATGTCGATGTTCATAAAAATGGAATATGTCAGTTTCGTTGCGTTTAATAAACGAGTTCGCGAATGTCGTATTAAAATTTGTTAGTTTTTTTTAAACAAAAATATTAGTCACAGGTATTAGTCACATCATTCATTTTATTACACACCGGGTGCTTGAAAAATATGGTAAATAAGTGTATGAAATATAAAGAAGTATGTTCTTTAACATATTTTTGGAGCACCCTATGTATAAATGAATTTATGAAATATAAAGAAATGTGTTTTAACAAACTTTTGGAGCACCCTATGCATAAATAAATGTATGAAATATAAAGAAATATGTTCTTTAACATACTTTGGGAGCACCCTATGTATAAATAAGTATGAGATATAAAGAAATATGTTTTCTAATATATTTTTGGAGCACCCTATGTATAAATAAATGTATGAAATATAAAGAAATATGTTCTTTAACATATTTTTGGAGCACCCTATGTATAAATGAATTTATGAAATATAAAGAAATGTGTTTTCTAATATATTTTTGGAGCACCCTATGTATAAATAAATGTATGAAATATAAAGAAATATGTTCTTTAACATATTTTTGGCATGAAATATAGAGGAATATGTTTTTTAACATATTCTTAGATCACTCCATGCACAAATAAATGTAAAAATATAAAGAAATGTTTTTTCTAACATTTTTGAGCACCCTGTAACATTATCATTTTCATTACAAAAAAACAAAAAACGAAAAAGAATTAACACCTTGAGAATATATCTCCTGCAACCCAATACACAATAAACGAACGAAATCTTTCTCAGAGCCGGCACCCTAATAGACCTCCATCCTAAATTCCCAGAGCAACAACATCCATCGTCACTCGATCCCACCGCGCGTAGCAGAGACTTACGTTTTTTATTTTTCAACCGTCGCAGGAACTTGCAGAATTTTTTGTAAGCAGTGTTCGCCTCTTTGCTGCTCAACTCCATAGCGCTCTTCGCTCTTTCATGCTTCTGTTGCCCTGCAGGGCAGAATTTAGGGTAACGCCAGTGCTGGCATGGTTCTGACCAGTCCAGAGTCACTGCAGGTGCCATTATAACCAACAACTATCGAGAAATGTCCACTTCTCAACACAAGCTCTACCAGCGACGATAAAATTTAACTCTGTCTTGTTCGGTGTGACAGACACTTAAAACGTGCCCGTCTAGTTTACAAATATTCACAGACACTTGGAAGGTCACCAACTAGATATTAATATTAACACCGTGTCAAGGAGTACGGCGCAGGTCATAATATCCAAATTTATAGTTAAACGCTCTCTTTATCATGCTTCCAAACGAGAAGACGTAGCAGTAGCCAGCAGGTAATTCGAATGATTCACACGATCATCATTCAGCACACGAAAACGACGTCGAAACGGGCGACTCGACACCGGACTTACACGAATTCCCGCGTGCCACGAATCGCCAATAACTCGCCTCGAACGCGATCTAGCTTACGTGCAGCGATCACGCGATCAAACAATGTCCCTCGTTTCTTGCTTCGAGCTGATCCATCGTCTAGGAAGGTTCAAGATCATTCTCCAGGTGATCGATGCTGTTTTCCATCGATTCTCGTGTTTCGCCGTGTCTTCTTTTTTCTCGAGTTTATTGGAAGATTCAGTTAACTTTTTTCGGTACGAAAAATTGGAAGCCTCGTTGTCCTTAGTCTTTAATTCATGGAAGAGCATAGAAGTCTTCTGGTCAATTTAATTCTCAGTTTAAGATTCTAGAGTTACCGTGGAACGACGTAAGACGTTCTCTTGTCAAGTAATTAGTCTAAGATTTCACCAGCCTCAGGATTATTCCGGTGGAACAACGAAGAAACGAATTAGAGGATTCGAGAAACTTTGCAGAAGAAACTGTTTCGAAACAGCAGGTACCACGATATGTACTATGTAAATATTAACTGAATACGTGTGAAATCTAGATTCACGGAATTCCACTGTTATCGTCTTCGTAACCTTGCTCTTCTAATCGAACAGTCCAAGTCTTACGATAGCTTGTAAACTGTACACTTAAGAATATACTTAAACTCACTTTAATTACACAAAATTCCTCCCTTCTCCGATCACACGGTGCTTTCACACGCACTATTCCACGAATATATTTTCGTCGAGCTGCACACAATTGCAATTAGTCCAATTAAACCATTGTTCAACTCCGGAACATTTCTATTCACCGACCAATTCGTCACACGAATTATCGAAACGAATCGATCACACACACGATTCGCCAGTTTCAACGTTCGTGCGTGTGTATGTGTGTGTGTGTTTCTGCAAGTTCCAGCTTCAGCAAAAAGAGAGGAACCCGGTTCACTGTAACTCGCGTGATCGGTAGCGTTGTGCGTTTCGAGGTTGGTGAAACGGACTGGTTTTAACGTGCCGAAATCACGCGACGATGCGCGAGCTGGTCACTGGCGATTGTCTCTCGCTCGCTGCGTGTCGCCCGCGTTCCACGTAGCCACCTCGCCAGAAACGTTCTCGTTCCACGGCGTCTCGGCACGCGACTAAGCTGAACGCGCCGCCAATCGCCATTACCCGCGGAAGAATCGCTCTTCGTACGGGAGGGGGGATAACCCAGGCGTCGCAGAGAGGGAGGCGAGCGAGCACTCCGTCTTGCCAAGAAAGTGAACCGCTTTTCGGGCATCCTTGAGTGCTACGCGATGATATTTCAACCCTTTCTCGCCGTGTAATTATATTTTCATTTAGTCGAGGAAATATGCAATTTTAATGGGACATTTTTCACGTTGCTAATATATATTTTGCTACCCAATCCCTTGCACTGCGAATAAATTTTTCAGCGACACGCCATTTTCAGACTGTTGAATTTATTGAAAATTACCGTGTATCGATAAAACAGATATTTATCGATATCTGTTTTTAATATAAAATGTTATTTTTTTTTTTTTTTAAAGAGATCGATAGAATTGTGCATCCAAGTTTATTACGAGCGTACCTCGTATTTGCCAGATATTCCTGGTAAATACAGGGCCGCTAGTTTCCCTCGTTATTTCAGTGCAAAATATTGAAAAGTGTGATAAAAGGAATTTTCGAATTATTCTGACACGGCCAGTGGATAAAATCGCGGAGAATAGTTTGAGGGTTAATGTTCGATTGGTTAATCTCACGTGGTTTCTGCTTTGCAAATTTTTTCCTACATCTTTTTAGCTGTACTTATATGTTAACGTTTGAAAATATTGTTTGGAATCGAAGATATATTTTTTCAAAATATATTCACTTTTTCTTAAATTTTTAAATAAGAAAATGTTTCTAGCCCTACATATCTATTATTTCATTTTTCTACGTGTTTTTTAAGGTCCTTTTTGGTGCACATTTAAATGTTAAAACTTAGAAATATTGCTTGAAA